AGTAATGGTTCAATAACTACTGGCATTGAACTGAGTTTTATATTTTCCAATTTCCCAAACTGGGTGTATGGTTTGACCAGGACTGACTATAATGAAAGAATCACCTCAAATTTCCTCCACACTCTTTCCCTACCCTTTCCCTATTGTATTGCAAATGTTATTATTAGGTTGGCTACTTCCTATAATATTTCACAGATTATCTCACAGTAAATAAGATAGTAGCGTAACAAAAATAAAAAACAAAACCATGAATGACGCTGACCTGAAACATCAATTGGGTCAAGGGTAAATCCATGTTCTTCATTTGATAATGTGATTTCATCCATTTTTTCATTTTCAGGTAGACATGTACACTCTGAATTATCTGGTTCTACTAATAACATCACCATAAAAAGAATTATTAGAAAAATAACAGTTATGTTTAATCTAGATGTTTATATGAGAATGAAAGCAAAAGATAAACTAATTGAAGATTTATATTGCTAACTGGAACCAAAACTGATTTTTAGAATCATGTACTTAAGAGAGTTGAAGAGACACAGAGATTATATGGTCTGGGGCCCAGTGTCTAGGTGAGTCATGCATCGTCACCTTCTTCTGCACATGTGACATCTAAGGCTGGACTTAGTAGAAACAGTGGTAGCAACCACAGTAAATGACTGACATAAATTTGATTGTGTCTGCTAAAAAAAATTTGTATTCTGAGGGTGACTGGGTAGCTCAGTCGGTTAAGCAACCGATTTCGGCTCAGGTCATGATCTTGCAGTCTGTGGGTTCAAGCCCTGCATCAGGCTCTGTGCTGGCAGCTCAGAGCCTGGAGCCTGCTTCATATTCTGTCTCTGTCTCTCTCTCTCTGCCCCTCCCCTGCTCATGCTCTGTCTCTCTCAAAAGTAAATAAGTGTTAAAAAAAATTTTTTTTTATTTGTATTCTGTTAATACTTAATTATTAGTTGACCCATAAAGGACCATAAATAAATTTATATCATCTCTCTTTTTCACATTTTAAATTTCTACTATGTGTTAGAAAGCAAATGTAACATAAGAAAGAATGAGGAATCAAAATGGGGCTATTTGTACTTTCAATTCTTAAGAAAAATCATACAAAAATACTTCAAATGATCTGAGGTACCTTCACATGAATTTCAAGTAGAAAATATCCCCACATTTGTAATTTCTCTCAAATTGTATACAGATTGTCCAGTTATATTAATGTCAATATGGTATTAATATTAATAATTAACAATCATAGCAATGTCAAATATTAATGATGTTTCTAACATGTAACACATATTATTTTAATGACTCAAAGGCATAGTATTTTGCCAGAGTATTTAGATGTGCTCTCATATCAAATAAACCCAATCCTGTTTAAATACCACTGTTGTACCTTTCTCGGAACCTAGTTTCCTATTCCATATTGTCTACAGTCAGACTCAAAAGAGTTTGAGGGACAACATTCTTTATTATTTTTCACTATATTATATTGCTACTTAAACCGAGCAAGTTGTAAGGTTTAATTTGAACATCAGTATCTGTTCACTTTCTACACAAAAGATAATTTCATCATACCCACTATAGTATCAGGAGGCTCAGGAGGCAGGGAAATTTCTCCGTTCAAATGCATGTCTTCTAACAGGATGTTGTGGTCATCTTGCAATAGATTGTCTTGAAAAACACAATAAATACTTCTGTCACAGAATTGAATCTGTCATTTTTTCACTAAACGTTTAATTGACATTTTTGTATATAAGGATTATAAACAGATACAAAAATGAATCAACCTTACTTAAGTAGATTTGATTGGCTACATAGACTATCATATTTCATGCAGGATAATATAGAACTTTATATATTTTATTTCCTTTCCCTTATTAAATAGATGTTTAATTTCAGGAGATATTTACTAAACTAATACTGTGATAGTAATCTTGTTACAAAGCCATGTTTAAACTCCAAATCAAGAAGTGAAAGCTTTCAAACTTCTTTGGTAGATACCTAAGGTAGAACCACTATTTTTTCATAATTTTGAAATTTCAAAAAGTTTGCCACAACCAGTCCTTTAAAGTAAACTAGAGAATCTAAAAAAGACTTGTTATATAACCATCACTATCTTTAAAATACAGGTATGTGTATTCAGATTTCCCAGTTTTTGTCTACTCCATTTCTATGATTCTTTTATAGTAACATCATGATATAAATATAAAACTACAATATAAAATGTTGGACAGATCCTTAGAATAGCTGTTTCACAATTTTTCTTAAGGGAAACAATGATTCCAATATACGATCTAATATATCTTGTGAGGAAATATACTAACTTCATTCCTTCCCCTCTAAAAATTAAGAATTTGTAAAAATAAAAACAAGTAGTATTTTATAACCTTTAGGGAAAATGTGTGTAAATAGATGCCTATTTACTTAGATCTAGCCTAAATGTTTAAATACATCACAGACTTTGAAAATGTATGTAAAAAATGTATTGACTAAAAAAAAAAGTATTTATTTAGGGGCCCTTGGATGGCTCAGTTGGTTGATTTCAGCTTGGGTCATGATCTCACGGTTCACGGAATAGAGCCCCACATCAGGCTCTGTGCTGGCAATGTGGAGCCTATTTGGGATTCTCTCTCTCTCTCTCTCTCTCTGCCCTTGACCCTCTTGCACGTGCACGCGTGTGCTCTCTCTCTCTCTCAAAATAAATAAACTTTATTTTTTTAAATGTTTATTTATTTTTGAGAGACAGAGACAGAGAGAGAGTATGAGGAGGAGAAGGGCAGAGTGAGAGAGAAAGGGAGACACAGAATCCGAAGCAGGATCCAGGCTCTGAGCTGTCAGCACAGAGCCTGACGCGGAGCTTGAACCCACAAACCGCGAGATCATGACCTGAGCCGAAGTCTGATGCTTATCCAACTGAGCCACCCAAGTGCCCCTAAATAAATAAACCTTTAAAAAATGCATTGATTTATGACACGGGGCATACCTGACATTTTAGTTTAATATAATAAGCCTATTAATACATTCTTAGCATGACTGAAATAAATATCCAATTTCTTTTTTTAATATCCAATTTCTATATAACCAGACAACATACCAATCATCTCTCCTGCAGCCCCTTCATCTCCAAATCCATCTCCACTGTCATAGAACAGAGATTTTTCTCCAATGAGGCTTTCGGAACTATGTTCAACTAAAGGACCACTGGAATCCAGCAATATGTTGTCATCAAAAAAGCTATGTCTTCTGAGAATTTCAGATTCCTCCCCTAAATAAATACATATCATTAATACTGAGTTAGCCATAGAAACATAGAGTTTTAGGGTTAGATGGAAATTCAGATATCTTCTTGTACAGACCATCCCATTTTACAGATAAGAAAAATGAGAGCTAAACTTATTTGCATAGTCAACTGAAGTCATTCAGTTAATCAGTAGAGGCTGGATTTCTAGTCTAACGCTTTTCCCAAAACAATAGGGAAAAAACATTAGGATAGAGTCTTTAGTTGTGGTTCAGCTTAATAATTTCCCAGAATGATTTCTTCTACTTTAGATAGTCATGTCCTGCTTGATCAAGTATTATTTCATGTTGTTTCAAGTACAATTGCTTGCATTGTTTATCCACAGTGGGGATTTGGAAAATAAGGAGCACATCTGCCTTCTTGGGAATGGAAAGGTAGATAAAATATTAAATAATGGGTTTACAACATTCATTCAATAAGTATTTAATGAATGGGTATTAGGCAATCTGCTAGGTATTAGAGATACAGTGAGAAAAAAGACAAAACCCAATCAGCTAACATTAACCGAGTACTTATTATGTGCATTATATTACATAATAGAAGATACTATTATAATCCTAAATTTAGACAAGGGAACATGTCCATAGAAAGGTTTTATAATTTGCACACAGTCATACCCTAATAAATGACAAAGCCAGGATCTGAACCCAGCGGAGACAGTGATAGTTAAAACTTACACTGGTAAAATATTTTGCAAAATGGAGACTTATGAGAGCAAACTCTTAAGACACTGACAGTAGCAGGTAGAATGAACTCCTGGCTTCAAACTGACTTGTTTCCAGATTGGTTGCCAGCACATGTATATTCTTAATATTCTTTCCCTTCCATGGGTTTGAATCTCTAGGTCCAGGAGTCTGAAACCCCAGAGATCAGACAGAGGTTGTCGTTCTCCTCCCTTTCTCACAACCCATGTTAGTGCTAACCCATGTTAGCATGTTTGTTAGTGCTCACAAAATCATGCAGTATCACTTATATTAAAATTCTTCTATAGGCTTTTATCTTGTAGAAAGGAAGAGTTGAAAAAGGCAAGCTTCATTGTACTGGATTAAAGATTTGCTCAACAGAAAAGGCTAAAAAATAAAAAATAAAAGTAAACTAAAACTATGTTCATATCTTCCAGGAGCAGCTTGAAAGCTCTCAAAAGAAAAACTAGCCTTGGTCAGTAAGATAATAACATTTTTGAACAGACACTATATTCGGAGCACTGAGCATCACAAGAACCTGAGATTATTCAAATAAATTAAAGAAATGATCATTGCTTTCAATCTTACATTGTAATTCAGAATAGGATGGATTAATATTAAACATTTCTTAGAAGACATTCGGTTTGAGCTAGTTTTTGAAAGAGGGAAAAATCACCTATTGGTGAAAAGAACTGAAGGAGGGAAATAACTCCGTGATGCGGCTAGTCGTATCTCAATTTTACAAATAGGGTAGTAAGTCTCAGAGAAGCTAGGTGATTTGCCCAGTATCACACAGCAAGGCAATAGAAAAAGCTGATGCAAACTCAGATCTGTTCGTACACTGAGAAAATGCTCTTCCCCCTTTTTGAATTGTAGGAGACACAGACTGAGAACAACTAAAGTATTGGCTGGTAATATGTTTTCTTAACTAGAGCAAAAAGTCTGTATCAAGAGTAAAACAAATAAAGTTGATAAAATACAGAAGGTGATAAATTGATAGAGGCCCTTGAGGATAGCCAGGGTGTCTAAAATAAGTCATAAGGACCCAAGGTATTTAAGTAGAGGAATGTGATACGAAAAAAAAAATGGAATTTAAAGACAATTGCTCTTGCAGAGCTACATAAAATGTGGGAAGAGACTGTGAGATGTGTAGGAGGGTATTACTCCAGGTCTTTAGTACTGGTGAACTATACTGGTGGCTAGAGAAATAGAAGACCTAAGAGACATGTCCAATTTTGTTGTTGTTGTTGTTGTTAATCAGCACTGGTATAAAGCTTACAGAAAGTGTAGTTAAAAGTGATCCTAGGGGCGCCTAGGTGGCTCAGTCGGTTAAGTGTCCGACTTTGGCTCAGGTCATGATCTCAGTTTGTGAGTTCGAGCCCTGCGTCGGGCTCTGTGCTGACAGTTTGGAGCCTGGAGCCTGCTTCAGATTCTGTGTCTCTCTCTCTCTCTGCCCTTCCCCCGCTCATGCTCTCAAAAAAAAAAAAAAAAAAAAAAGTGATCCTAAAGTTTTAGGCCTAAAGAACAGCAGTAGTGTTTATAGGGAAATGTGTAAAGAGTGTCTTGGCAGTAGGAAATATGATTAACTCTTTGCCAATGTATTACATTTTAAGGCCTGGGATTACAGAGAGTGAGAGATCCAGGCTACTCAAAATATGGTCTGTGGGTTGGTGCTTGTCCATGGTAGAGTAAATACACAGACTAGAGGTAAATGTTTAAAAAATTTGATAGCAATTTCACAGAGTAATTTTATATATGTTGAATTTAATAAGAAAAATTGAAGCATATATTTTGATTTTTAAACTTTCAATTTTTCTGGATTTTACAAAAGCATCATTCCATGAAAGACTGGAAATTAACAAAAATTCTAAAATTTGTCCCACACCACAGATCATTTAAGAACACAGCTGTAGATCGGAAGAGTTACAGGAGAAGAGTAAGGATGAAAAATGGAGGTTGGAGATGTAGTTCAAGCATTACTGGCTTGACCACCCTCCCCCACGGAACACAGAGTTAAGCCACCCTTCTTCTACACTCACTGCTTCGGGCACTATAAGAGAACCAAACGTGAATACGACACAGATTTTATCCTCATGGAGTTTTCAGATCAATACAGGACGTACATAATATAATGGTTCAAGACAGAGGTAAATGCCATAAAAAGAACAGCTTAATTATAAAATATACTCAACAGTTGTTTTTATAATCAATGAGTATATATTTAACATGTGTTATTTCCTCCTCAGTCCCAAGCCATGATAAACTTTTTCATTTTACAATTGATATCATCATATATTGGAGAAATTTTCATACTTTGAAGGCACGATATACAGCACACACGTAAAACACTATATACATACACACACACACACACACACATATATACACACACACACACACACACACATATATATATATAGTGTTAGGGTTATATGTAATATATGTGTATTATGTAATATATATGTATTTATACACATATATTACTATATATGTGTGTGTGTGTATATATATATATATATATATATATATATGTTTATTTGCATATCTCTCTCCCAGCCTGAAGCTCCTTGTGGGCAGGAAGGAAGTGCTTCTGCAAACTTTGTACTGCCTATGCCTATGATAGAACATGACATATAGTAAGTATTCAATAAAGGACTGCAGACTAAGAAGGGAAGTTTATAGCCTAAGACTGAGTCTTGGTATTAACACCTATTTAGAACAAGGTAAAGATAAACTTACTGAGAGTTGCATTTAGACATCAAGACATCCATTCTAAAGATAGCTATTTCTATTGACATGGTTTCAATACAAAAATGCATATTTATTTTATAAGTTATTTTGCAATTATGCTTCTATTTTATAAATAATTTTGCAATTATTTTATAATTGCAAAAATGCAATTATATTTTATAATTGATTATAGCTTGTGATTTTAATTTCTCAAAGAGTCTCACCAAAGCTCCCAGCTTGGAACAGTAGATCATTATTGTAATATTCTCTAAGTGTGATTTCTTCTGGTCTGCTTTGGTTCTGAGTAACGTGTTCTGAAACATCAACAGCACTATGGAGAAACATAAGATTGAGAAAATTGAGAAAAATATGCCAACAGAACACAAGCATTTTGCAGTATACTGAAAAAAAGCCCAAAACTCTAAAACAAAAAACAGCTTTTATTATAAAAAATAAACACTTTTATTTCCTCAATAGTATTATTTATACACACTAGTTGATTACACATGTATATATAACAAATGGTCTCTGGGCTGCTGAACCCAGGGGTCAATTCTCAGTCCTTGTCTTACTTATTCTAACCAACTGCATCTGAAACAGATGTTCACTCCCTCATGGAAGGTATTCTTCTCTTCACCTCCAGGATACTACTTTCTCTTGAGTTTTTCCTTACCTCATTGGCTGCTCCTTTTCTTTCATTAGTCCTTCCTCATCTCCCAGACTACCAGCTATTAGGAATGACCCAACACTCTGTTCTCAGATCTCTCTCTTTTAAAATAATTACACTCACTCTCTGGGGGTTGAAATTCCATCTATATACTCACAACTCCTAAATTTATCTATCCCATCCAGACCTCCTTCCTGAATTTCAGACCCAGATATTCAACTACTTGCCTACTCCCCTTGGATGTGTAACAATCATCTCAAAACTTATGTCTAAAGCCTAATTTATCTGTGACTATAGGATTACTGTAGTCATCCTTCCTTTCTCTTTTCCTTAAAGCCATATCCAATTCTTCAGCAAATTCTGTTGGCTCTGTCTTCAAAATATATTCATAATTTGTTACCACCTTGATAACATGAAGACTGAGAAGTGATTACAGACACTGTCATTTCTCACCTGGACTTCTTTTTTTTTTTGGCAGGGATAGCACCATTTATTTAAAGACCACAGGAGGGTCCCTTCAAGGACACAGAGGCCTGGCATCCTGATCCCACGTCTGTGGGCTGCTGGTGGGAAAGGTGCGTGCCCCTAGTTGGGCCCTCAGGCTCCCACAGATAGGGCAGGGCTGTCATGTCCCCTTCCTGTCCCTCCCAGCCATGAATCCTGGCATCCCCCACTCAAGGCATTAACTGTTTTCACTGCCCTTCTCCCCCCATGTACCCTGGGCCTTCACTTCCAGATCAACGGGGCTGGGTGATAGGCCTGGTGTGAGGGGGGAGACCCTTTCAGTGCTGGGCTCTGCCTGCAGCAGCTCCTGGTAAGAGGTGGGGTGGAGTTTCCCTTGCAGCCCTGAGTAGGTGTTGGGTGGGAGGGTCATCTCGACTTCTTACTGAAATAATTTTCTCATAGGCTCTCTGCTTCCTCCCTTTCCCCTTTATACTAAGTAAAGGGGAAGAAGCATGTTGAAATCAAGTCAGATCTGTCACTCTCCTATTCAAAACCCTTCTGTGCTCCCTATCTGAATAAAATTAAAGTCCTTACTGTGGCCTGCAACACTCAACATCATTTGCACCCTCAACTACCTCTCATTTCCTACCACTCAGACCGTCATTTACAGCACAGTCTCACTTGCCTCCTTGCTGTTCCCAGAAAAGGTCCAATGTGTTCTGCCTTAGGGCCTTCTCACTTGCTCTACATGGAACATTCTTCCCCACATTACTGAATGATTTGTTCCTATACCTCCCTCAGGTTTCAGTTCTGACCTTATTAGAAAACCCTTTCTTGAGAATCCTATCATTTTTTTCTTTATTTTCTGTTTCTTTTCATATTGCTGATCATTTACTGGCAAAGTGTATATTTCTTTGTTTATTGTCTGTCTAAAATGTAAGATTCTTGCAGACAGAAGCTGTTGCTCAATGTCCTCAGTGTCTAGAGCAGTGCCTGGCATATGGAAGGAACCCAATACATATTTACCGAATGAATGGAAGAACATACTGTTAATATCGCAAATTACATTCAGCAAATATGATGATACATTTTTGGTGTTATATTTCAAAATTTCACGCTAAACTTAAGTCTTCTCAACTGCATGTGTATTTCAGTTCTTAACTAGAGTCCACTTGTATTCATGAAATCTGAAGATGAAAGCAAGAAAATCAAATTGAGGGTCGCCAGCATGGCTCAGTCGGTTATGCTTCCAACTCTTGATTTTAGCTCAGGTCATGATCTCAGTTAGTGGGCTTGAGCCCCTGCTTGGCATTCTTCTCTCCCTCTCTCTCTGCCCCTGCCTCACTCGCATTCCCTCTCTCCCTCTCTCTCTCAAAATCAATAAATAAACTTTTTTTAAAAGAAAATTAAATTGAAGGAAAATGAAAAAATAATTTACTTCACATTGTGGGTGTCAAAATCATGAAACTCTTCTGGCAATGTGATAGCATTATAAGCAGCTTCAAAATTCTCTTTTGGAAGGTCAACCAGCCCTGAAAAGAATAAAAAACCACATCCAATGAGCAATAATGCTATATAAGAAACTCCCAGTTCTTGCCCCTCTTCGGTCCCATTCTCTACAAACAGCCAGAGTGGTATTTAAAAATATTTAAAGAGCAATCAGCTCAGCTCATTCCCATGCTTAAAGTGATTCAGTGACTTCCCCAGTGTATTAAATAAAATTTAAATTTCTAATCAGAACCTCTGCAGCTGTACAAACCTGTCAGCATCATCGAAGGATCTTTCCCTCACTCACTAGACTCTAGCTATACTGGCCTTTTTGTTACCTGAACAAATTAAGCACTTTTCCCCCTCAAGACCTTTGCTCTGACGGTTCCCCTCTGCCCGGAATGCTATTCCCTCAGGGACTTTTTACATGGCTGGGTACTTCTCATTCTTCAAGTTTGAGCTTAAATTCTACCCTTTCTAGAAAGGCTTTTTCTAATTAGCCTAATGCAAGTAAAGTTTTCTGCTATTTTTTGTTGTAATACTCTGTTTAGACTCCTGCATAGCACAGTCATTATCTACAATTATTATAATAATTTTAAAAAACTTTTTTATTATCTGATATCCTCTCCAAACTGAAAGGGACCTTATTTGCCTTATTTGTCCTTATATCCCAGAGCCTTAAAATAGTGTTTGGCACAAAGTATGGCATCAATAAATATTTGTGGATCACATAAATGAAAGAATGGACAAATGAACCATATTTGATATGAGTATAAGTCTACGTAGAGAATTTACAAATATTTTAAATAAAGAAAAACAACCTGTCAACCCTGATTCAGTAAATATTAATTGAGGGAACAGTATGTTCAAGACACTGAGACAAGTACTATAAGAGATTTAGAAAATATCACAACAAAGATATTGCCTTCAAGGAACTTACAAACTAGTGTGAGAGACAAGGCCTGTACCTAAATAACCATAACACAAGGTGGAAATGATGAATGTCTTAACATTAAGTTAAAATTTGAAGCCATCATATTTATGACACATGTAAATCTCTAGCACTCTGGAAGGTCTAGAGATTTTCTACAATATTTTGGGGCGCCTGGGTGTCTCAGTAGGTTAAACGTCTGACTTCACCTCAGGTCATGATCTCAAGGCTGGAAAGTCTGAGCCCCAGGTCAGGCTCTGTGCTGACAGCTCAGAGCCTAGAGCCTGCTTCAGATTCTGTGTGTCTCTCTCTCTCTTTCTGACCCTCCTCCACTCACATTCTGTCTCTCTGTTAAAAATAAATAAACGTTAAAATTTTTTTATGTTTCATAAATAGTAAGAACAACCTAAGCTACTTACAGTCTTGAGAATTCTGAAAACAATGACAATTATGATATCTAGGCTTTGTCAATTACACTATTTCTAATTTATCTCATACAGGCAAAAATAAATGTGGTAAATTAAGCAATCCATTAAAACTGAATATCAGAATTTCTTACATAAGTAGATATCTTATGTAAATATGCGGGAACTTTACAAGTGTTTGAAAGCACAAGCTTTTCTTGCAAACACAGGTAAAGAGCAAGGGAAAGAATATAATTTGTCCTTAACCACGGAAACTTAGAATCAGTGAAAAGGAAGTTTATATTCACATATACACGCTGGAATTACGGAGTGCCACCAATTAAAAGAGCCCACCCAAAATAAAAATGCAAAAGAGAAACAAGGTGAGTGAGACAAATCAATGTTGCAAGTATACCTGGGCAAAATGTCATCTTCATTTTGAGCAATGCTTCGTTGCAATCTGCCAAAAGATATTTTGCCTTCCTATTATAGACTCGCACAACTCCCAAAAGAAGGTGTCCTGAAGTTCGAAGTGCAATTTTCACCTTTCAAGAATTTTTCAAGCATTAGAATATTGAGAATTAGATTCATAAACCCTGTTTGAAAATTATAAAATCATAGAATTCCTTCTCTTTAAAAAGAAGACATTTTGTATTCTTTTATTTATTTATTTTTTTAATGTTTATTTATTTCTGAGACAGAGAGAGACAGAGCATGAGCAGGTAAGGGGCAGAGAGAGAGGGAGACAGAATCCGAAGCAGGCTCCAGGCTCTGAGCTGTCAGCACAGACCGTGAGCTGAAGCCAGTTGCTCAACCGACTGAGACACTCAGGGGCTCCTTGTATTCTTATTTAGAGTGAATTATTTGAAATGCCTGTGTGGCTCAGTTGGTTAAGCGTCCCACTTCAGCTCAGGTCATGCTCTCACGGTCCGTGAGTTGGAGCCGAACGTCAGGCTCTGTGCTGACAGCTCAGAGCCTGGAGCCTGCTTCAGATTCTGTGTCTCCTTCTCTTTCTGCCCCTCCTCCCCCATCTGCACTCTCTCTCTCTCTCAAAAATAAACATCAAAAAAAAAAAAAAAAAAAAAAAAAAAAAAAGTGAATCACTTAACTTCTACCTCATCTTGTAAAATGATTAACCTTTGTTCTTACTCAATGAGGATAATCTAATGTGCCATCTAAGTGAAATATGTGATTATTAGTTTCGCGGAAGAATATAAACTCTACAGTCAGGCAGACTTGGGTTCAAGTTTTGGCCTAGTTGCTGAGACTTGAAGTTCAATCTTCTTGAGCTTCAATTTATTAATAATGGTTACACTTATTATATACTTATTTTGTGCCAGGAATTGTCCTAAGAGCTCTTCATGTATTACTTAATTTTGATATGAACCTCTGTTTACAGAAGAAAAAAGCCTGAGATTCAGATATGGTAAGTAGCATGCCCAAAGTAAGAAAACTACCAAGAAATGGAGCAGGAATTAAGTTTGAATAACTCAAAAGTTCATGCTCTTAACTATCACACTTCACTGAGGCTCAAAGAAGCCCATCTCACAGGGTTGATGTGAAGATTAAATGATCTAATGAATGTAAAGTCTAGCCCAGTGCCTGACACATGGAAAGTTTTCAATTATTATTCATCCTTCTTGCAAGCAGAAAAAATACTTAACTTCTAAAAATATTAAAATAATATTTTAATGCAAATTCTAATATCTTACAGTATTTTATTATGAACATAGTACTGTATGAAGTGTTTTCATATATATTTTGATTTATACTCATTCTTTTTTTCTATTCTCCATATTCATTCACTCACTATTTTTTTAAGAAATACTTATTTGGTACCTACTGTGTCTACAGTATTTTGCGAAGGGAATAAGAAAGGATTACAAAACATGTACAAAATATGACCTTCCTCCTTCAGGGTCTAATCTATTTATGATAAACATATGAAAACAGTTAATTACCCACAGAAATTGACATATGTTTGTGCTCAGGTAATAAATGTTATAGGAATTAAAGAAGACCATTTCAAAAGTAAAACTTCCAAAAAAAAAAAAAAGTAAAACTTCCTTGGAGATGCATTTTCTGATAGAACATATTTTAGTTCCTTTCCTCTCCATAAATCATGCCAAATACATATTATAATTTGAATCAATAACATACCTTAGGTGAAATAATTCTTTCAATGGTTATCTCTAGATTGCATTCAAATACATGAGCCTTTGTGAGTTTCTTCTCCCAGTGAGCTGCAAGCCAGATTTTGGCCAACGGCCCTCGCTTACTCATAAGCACATGTGTGTAGAACATGTTTCCTGTATTCCTTAGGGGTATTTAACAAACTAGAGAGAACATTAAAAAATATTTAAATTTTGATTACAAAAACATTTCAGTGCTATTTCTTAGCAAAAGCACTTTTTATCATTTCTGTAACAGATTATCTTCCAATTGAAGCTATTATTCAATTCAGTTTCTTGTAAAGAAGCCATTATGTAAAATACAAAATTATAAACTAATGAGAACTCTATTAGATTGTGAACCACACCCGATTTACATGTGTTCTGATCACTGACGGTTTCCTACATTCTACTTACTTTTTCCTACAAAGAATTTAAGTTCTCTTATTAATAAGGTCAAATAAATAGAGGCGGAGGCCTGGGAAAAATAGGATGGAAATAGGGAAAAAAACAACAGAACAGGAAAAGGCACACAAAAACTAAGAAAAGCGAACACATGTCACCTCTTTTCTAAAACTTAGGAATTTGAGAAATGTTGGACTATTGATTTATAACCAGGTGTTGAATTTCTTTGTTTTCTTCAAGATACTCTGGTTTAGTCAGCAATTTATTAACTTCTGAAGTTAAAATAATGGAATTCCAAAGGACTATAAAGTGGAAAAATGAAGGAAACAGAAACTAAAGGAAAAGAATCGAAAGGCAAGAAAGAAAACAAGAATCAAATTTAAACGTTTTCAAACAAGAATGGTGAAAAAAAAACTTCACCTAGAACTAAAACAGTTTATGCACATTTCTACGAATTGTAGTATCTTTGAGAATATCATAAGGCTCCTCTAAGCAAAGGGATATTATAATACTTTGACTTCTAGTGAAGAATCAGATTATTGCTCATATAAGAAATCTTAAGCTTCCACTATAAAAGCCTTTTTGCTTCTTTTCTACTTGAATTTCTGACTAAAAGAGAAAATTGAGACAAAATGAACACAAAAACAAAATCAGCCACAGAATTCAAGATTTAGGTGAATTTTGATCAATGCACAATTTCCACCCCAAAAATCAAATCACTGGCCCCAAAATGAAAAGTTAGGCAATCTGCAAAACCACATTCCCCAATGGTAGAGCTGGAGATTTTAATGTTTATGGCCTGTGCCTGCCTTGGTTTCACTTTATTCTTTTTACTGTTTGGTATCTTGGAATACATTCCAGTTTATCTTATAAAATTGCTCCCAGGTATATGGTTATTGACGTATTTTAAGTAAAAACAACTCTGCTTTTCAATCTGAGATATTGATTTTTCCCGAGTACATATTCTACCCTCCCCAACGACCCCCC